ACCACGCAAGGGGTTGTGCTCTCTCTGTCCCTCCCTCCCCCCTCCATCATCACTTACCATCTAACTGTATTAAGGCTTCAAGCTTATTTCTCTTGTTATTAGGATCTATCATGTTGTTTACTCTCATTTTCCAGGGTAATTTGAATGAACTTCAACCCATACATGGGGAGGATCGACAATATTCCTGCAATGAGGGCGGTGAATCGTTCAGTCAGCAGATAATTCTGAGAGCACATCAGGACATACATAGTGGGGAGAAGGCATATTGTTGTGATGTATGTAATAAGTCATTTAGAAAGCAGAGTCACCTGAAGACACATCAGAGCATACATAGTGGTGAAAAGCCATTTTGCTGTGATGTATGCAATAAGTCATTCAGTCAGCAGAGTCATGTGAAGACACATCAGCGCATACATAGTGGCGAAACGCCATTTTACTGTGATGTATGTAATAAGTCATTCAGTGAACAGTCTACTCTGAAGATACATCGACGCATACATAGTGGGCAGAAGCCATTTTCTTGTGATGTATGTAACAAATCATTCAGTGTGGTTAGTAATTTGAAGACACATCAATGCATACACAGTGGGGAGAAGCCATTTTCTTGTGATGTATCTAATATTTGTTTTAGAAAGCAGGGTCATCTGAAGAAACATCAACGCATACATAGTGGGGAGAAGCCATTTTGCTGTGATGTATGTAATAAGTCATTCAGTCAGCAGAGTCATGTGAAGACACATCAACGCATACATAGTGGGGAGAAGCCATTTTCTTGTGATGTATGTTATAATTGTTTTAGAAAGCAGGGTCATCTGAAGAAACATCAACGCAGACATAGTAGGGAGAAGCCATTTTGCTCTGATATATGTAAAAATTTGTTCATTTCAAAGGATGATCTGAAGAGGCATATGCACATACATAGTGGGGAGAAACTATTTTCTTGTGATGTATGTAAAAAGTCATTCATTTCGAAGAGTGATCCGAAGAGGCATATGTACATACATAGTAGGGAGAAGCCATTTTGATGTGATGTACGTAAAACGTCACTTAGTCATCAGAGTAATCGTTAAGAGAAATTAGCGCATATATGTTGATGTATTTAGTAAATCAGAGCAGTAGAGATGGGTTTAGACTAAAGGAACAGTATGTGAGTTGTAGCATGCCACAGTATTTCATTTTGTAAGTAAGACAGTTTTGCTGTGTGTGACATGCTTCAATCTTGTAGAATGCTACAATGTATTGAAGTTTATTATTGTTGCTAACCTTTCGAACTGATGGGAAATTAACTGAGTCCCATGGTACAGAACATCTGTGCAGATGACTTCCATTTGATTCTGACTGGTGATTGTGCACAAGCTCTATCTTGTTGAGTGGAAACAGACATGACATGACATGACATTCTCCTGTAGATATGTTAATTCAGCATTGGAAGCTAGTGACTAGTAGAGTGTAGCCACTGAAACGGATCAACAGCTTATACACATAATTCAGCAGCATCATATTCTCTTTGCTGTGTTACCTATGCTCTTCTGCCACTATATGTGAGTAAATTCATTGATCAGTTAGTTTCAGATCGATATATCGCTTGGATTGAGTAATTTGAGATAAGTGTTATGGATTGGTCAGATGAATACAAACTGTGCTCTACTGGACATTGCAGACAAGATATATTTCTGCGGTATACTTGGTATATTGATTAAAAAAAAAGTTAAATAAAGGTCGGTTGATTCTGCTTTTGGAGAAATGAAATAGTACAGAAAATTTAATTGAAAGGATCATGAAGTTCTTGCTTACATCTTTTCACTGTGAATTCAGCAGAGAAACTGAGTGGTCTGTCATGAGGTCAAAAAAAGAATGTGGTTTGGCAATGAGGCACTCCTTTTTGCATTAGGTCTCCTTTGCCTTAGATGGAAAGTGTCAGGTGAAAATTGTGAAATATTCTTTAATAAAATTAATCAATGTCAATATTATTTACTAGCTGTAGCCGGCCACGCGTTGATGTGGCAAATCGAGTGAACTCAAAAATGTTGTTGGATAATTAACCACTTCATCTGCTTCCACAACAGTGTCGACGGACTTGTATGAGACTGCCTTGCAGTGAATGTTAGACTGAATGATTATGTTAAGTTTGTAGACGTCTTTGTTCTTGGCCGCAAGAATAGCTCGTTCACTTGGCCAATCGTGATTCTTATAATTGGTTTGAATATTCGGAAATACTTTTTCAACCAGTTCTTCTTTTGACGTCACTAAATTGCATAAGTTACGAGGCAACGAAATTCGTCCTGAGGTCAGATCATCCTGCACCTTTCCGTTCCCAATTTCCTGCAATTTGTGCGAGATTATCTCAGTTGATCAATCGTTTTGCAGCTGGACATGCACATTTGTAGTTAATTTTAACGTCTTTATGTGTCGCCACAAAGTAGAGTATTTGAGGCAAGCATTTATTTTGTCCGCTGGTGTCGATCGAGGAATTACAGGTAATGTTTGCCTGAAATCTCCTGCAAGCAATATTAATGGGTTCCCAAATGGTCTGATATTTCCATGTTGCAATGATCGATGAAGAGCCTCGAGCAATTTTTTTGTGCGCCATTGTGCATCCATCCCAAACAATAAGCTTGCATTTCTGCAATACCCTTCCCATGCCTGATCGTTTGGAAATGTTGCACGTGGGAGTTTCAATGAATTGCATGTTCAATGATAATTTCAAAGCGGAATGAGCAGTTCTTCCACCTGGTAGCAATGACGCAGCTAATCCAGATGATGCAAGAGCTAAGGCTATGTCATTTTGGGATCGAATTGCTGCCAGAATCAATGTAATTAGGAACATTTTACCAGTTCCTCCTGGCTCATCTAAGAAGAAGAATTCTGCAATCCCGTTATTGACAGTTTGCATGATTTGATCATAAATGCCTTTTTGCTCAAGCGTTAGCTTAGGAATATTTGATTGCACATATGACAAAAGATCACCCATGTTGTAATTTTGTTCACGATGTAATTCTACATTGAACGAAGCAGGAGCAGATCGATTCAGTGATGGCATTCCCAATTGACTGAGAACTTTGTTCGCGATTTCTAAGCACAAATCTTCAATCATTATCAACGTTTCGTTGCAGATTTCTGCTGTGAAATCCATGTTCATATCGGAATTTTCCTTACGCATTCAACGGAAAATATCTTCAGCCATGTGCAATTTATATTTCTCCCATAACTCTGTTGGAGATGAAGGAGAGCAGGCGGACAATATGATTGCAAACAGTGCACGAATTTGATGTGGATGTGACATGTTGCACGCGACAGTAATGCATGAAGTGTGTTTGGGTATGTCACGCTACAATTAACTTTACGCCATATTGATTATAGAGAATCTTTATTGTAATTCACTTGCACACTTTACAATTATCGCCCACTTGCAGTATTAGAGTTACTGGTTACACAGTCTCTCGGCCAATACTTCTGTATCTCTTGGCGTCTAGGTTCCAACCTTCTTCAGCGGTGTGACATCTGTATAATAGGTACATAAAAACATGCGCATAATCGAATGCAACATTGTGTCAAAATTTCAAAGCAATCGGTGAAGAACTTTCGGAAATTTAAGATCAGGACTAAACGAACAGTTAACATTTTTATTTATATAGATTGGAATTCAGAGGATTGATGTAGTGGGTTGACTCAAGAGGAATAGCTTTTAAATGGACTTAAATTCAGTGCAATTATGCCCCTCCCTCCATACCCATTTTCTTCACCGCCTGATGAACTGCATTATAACCGAAACTAATTCTTGGTCACTCTAAGCAAAGTATCTCTGATTTCTGACACTTTCTTGCCCAGGAATGCTTCCTTCATTTTGCATAATGTGTACCATAACTTTGCATCAGCAGAGCTCTTCCTCATGTGTCACCACACGTTGGCTGTTGCTGCATCACCAGACCTGATCATGTTTCATGGTCCTGGAATATGTGTTGCATTTTGCATGTCTTCACCATATAAAGTAGTCGGCAGCTCAAGAATGGATTTGCAAGTTGCAGTTGTCCTCAGAAAAGTCTGAAGGTAGGCTGATGCTGTGTATTCTGTATGCTTAAAGAAGGGAATATGGAGTGAAATCATCTGGCTCAGGATAGGGGCCTGTGTCTGGTGCAACATTTCGCGAAATTATAAGTGCTGGAGAATTTATTTTGGGACACTTTGGAATATTTTAGTGAGGAATGGATGCTGTAAAGCTGGTGCATTTATGTTGTAATTAGCTGAGGTTTGTCACCCCGGTATTCACTGTGTTTTTATAGGCAATTGGGCCATTGCAGGCTGTGAGTTAAGTCATGGCATCACGTGACTTCGCAGAGCACAAAGTCTGAGCGGTACCGTTATTTTCACTAGTTGCGAACTTAGGAATGTTAAACGTTGCCAAATTTCGGAATAATTTCTACTCCTGAAATATTATTCCAAGAAAATTATTTTTTCTATAATTTCTGTCTGAAAATTGTGCTGCGGCCTATATACGCACGCGGCCTGTACATGCATAAATACGGTAAATAGGCCTTGAGATGACTAAAAATGAGGTTGAATAAATTTAAATACAGGTTGGCCTATAGTATTATGAAGGTACAGTATTACAGAACTACTTTTAATAACATTTGTCTTAACCGGCTTTTCGATTAATCGTGATATCCATGCCCACAATTATCCTGGATAATCGAGAGTTGAGTGTACTTGTATTAGGATGTGTTCCCAATGCCACTTCTTCACTATTACTCTCTACACCTTTTACACATTCTTTGCATCTTATGTTCAGTCATATTTCTTTCTGACAGACAACAACAAAAAATCTGTCATGACAACCAATCNTTCAAGTTCGTATAGCAACAGGCGTGACCAGAGTGGTTTGAACGGCTGTTGTACTGCGATGTGGAAAGCAAATGGAAAAACTACCACATTATCACTTTTCCTGGATAGTCTCTTTCCAAAAACAGAAGATCGCATTAAGTGGAGAAACTGTTTTGGAAGAGACTGTGGACCTGTCGTCTGACAGATTACTGATGATGATGTTATTACATGGATACGGACTGCATGGGAGACAGAAAACAAATTATAAACTTCAGCATTTATAGATCCTGGGAACTCTATGATGTAGTACCAAAGCACTGCTTATTGGACTGGACAAAGAAATTTTGAAGAATTTTTCCTGTATAGAATTTACCGCAAACATTCAGTTTATACAGTATTTCATTTCATCTATATTAGAACTGATCAAAAGAAAATGGGACTGGTACATCACAAGCAACATTCTACAAACTACAGTTGCCTAGAGACATTACAGGAAAAAGAAACCTTCAGAATCTAGTCAACAGCACAGTGGAGCTGTTTCATGTTTGCAGACAGACAAGCAGCATTTCTGCACATTTGTGTCATCTGCCTAACAGTGCACACACAGCTCACCTCTAGTTCGGCCTTTATTTCTGGAAATGTTATTGGGACAGGATCCTCTTCCTCTTCTGCATCTGAGACTGCCTCAGCTTTTACATTCATGGCCTGATTTGCATCATGAGGTGTTGGGTATGTCTCACCATGTGGAACCACTAAAGCATTCTCCAAATTTGTACAGTTCTGTAAAAACCATCACATCCTTCTCAGAAATGGATGCACAGCACCCTACATTAACCAGCGTATGCTCTCCTTGCTGTGGCTGTTTTTCATAACATCTAACTTATAAGAGCTGTCCTGTACGGATGTTCTTCTCTACAGCTCTCAGGATCACTAGAAAGTACTCGGTTCATAGCTCAGTGAGCTTCCCGAGGAACTAACAGTCACTGCGGCAGTAGAGAAAATATCTCATTTTTTGGTACCTAAAAACATCATAATGAAGAGTTCCACAACTTGTAACCTTCATTCACCAAGCATAATTATATGATAAAGTCCAGAAGGTTGAGATGGGCAGCTCATATAGCAAGCATGGGGGTGAAGAGGAATGCATACAGGATACGTTGAGAAAGCCAGAAAGGGCTAATTACTGTGATCAGTGATCACACATGCTCATCATGACTTTATATACTAAGGCAAACAGACACAGCACAAACCCTTCCAAATTATTTCTTTCAAATCTATCTTAATAGCATCTCCCCATCCTCACTTAGGTCTCCCAAGTTGTCAGCTTCTCTCAGGTTTTCCCTTCAAAACTTTGTATGCATTTCTCACTGTTCCATGTGCACTACATGACATATCCACATCTCTCTCCTTGAACTCATTGCTCTCCTAAATAATATCCCAAACCATTATCGCCTAAGTGTACGAAACTCCCCACATGGATCATGCAAACAAACAGAAGTGTTTCACAAAATATTTAGTTACTTTGGCAAACACAACTGACATACAATACAATTCATATCTGTGCACACAAGCACGAAACACTCAGAATTCATTCGCTTACATCGGGAAACTTTTCTTCAGCTCTATACAGTACAATTCTTGCCACTCCTGTTGCAAAGAGAATGCAGAATCTTTAGTAACCTTGAAACCTGTTCATCACATGATAAATATCTTGTGGGTTCATTGGAATTAGCTCACAAGAGTCCTAGTAACTTATTAGTTCTAACAATACCACTAACAAACTGTGAAAAGTTCTGTGACACCCTAAGGATTTTTGCTGCTATAGAATTTCTCTCAGATACAGTTCTGTGTATGCAAAATTTAATTTCATCTGCATCAGAACTACTTAAAAGGAAATGGAAGTGGTACATCACAAGCAGCATACATTCAACAAACTATAACTGTCTAGAGACACTTCAGATAAAGGCCTTCAAAGGCGAGTCAGCAGCACAGTGGAGTTGTTTGAAGTACACAGCTAGACAGACAGACAGACAGACAAAGATGAGAAGGACAACTGGAATTCCTGCCTATTTGTGATATCTGCATAACAGTGGATATACAGAAACATACAGCTCACCTCAGGTTTAGCCTTTATTTCCTGAAATGTTATTCGCACAGGATCAGCTTCCTCTTGTGACTCTGTGACTTCCTCAGCTTTTATATTCATGGCCTGGTTTGCATCATGACTTGCTGGGTATGTCTCACCATATGGACCCACTACAACCTTCTCTGAATTTGAACAGTTCTGTGTAGGCATCACATCTTCTATCAGTCATGGCTGTACAACACTATACATGAAACAATATATGCTCTCCTTGCTGTAGCTGTTTTTCATTACATCCAACCCATAACAGCTGCTCTGTACAGATTTCTTCTCTACAGACTTCATAATCTTAGCAAGTGTTAAGTTCATAATGCAGAGACCTTCCTGAGAAACCTATGGTCCCTGTGGAAGTACAGAAAATACATATCTGCTCTTTATGGAACCTAAGCACTCATTACTGTGTTCACAAACCCATCATGAATTTGCATCCTGACACAAACAAACACAGTCCAAAACCCCATAATTGTATCTTTAACAAAATCCATCTTCACAGTTGTCTCCTAAGTGATCTCATTCTTTCAGGTCTTTTGTCAAAATTTTTGTATGCATTTCTCATTCTCACATGCGTGCTATATGACCTACCCTTATGACGATATGAGCAGCCGTTCATAGGAACTGAACCAGCTTGCGGCATCTCAATTGGAGTTGCCAACAAAGCGATCAGAGACTGGACTGATAGAAACCATAAAAAATACTGGGAATCCATAATTGGACTCAGACAGGCTAAGTGTTTTACAGCAGGAAACTCTGCCAGATGAACGAAGGATCTGTTGAGATTAAACAGAGATCAACTAAGATGGGTGGTAGGATTACTTAGCAGACACTATCACCTGAAAGGACACCTTTTCAAGGAGGGACTGACAGACAACCAAACCTGTGAAAGGTGCCTACAAGAAAATGAATCAGCAGCACACATCCTGTGTGATTGTGAGGCCGTAGCTTATTCAAGATTTTGTCACTTGTGACTATTATGACAACCCCATAAGCAGGGTCCTACTCTTTATTAAAAGTGTAGAATTAATAAAGGGCTAATCCAAGGGGAAACACAATAGTTCATTGAATGATGCAGTGTGGGGGGCTGTCTTAATGGCCTAACCCTTACATACATACATACCCATATCACTCTCCTTCAATTGATCCGTCTCGCACATAACAATGCAAAGTGTTACAATATGAAGAACCATGTAAACTCCCCAGATGGCTTATGAAAACTAACACAAGCTTGGCATAATAAGTTTAGTTTCCACGTGAACTGACTGATAACGATAAAATTCTTCTCTGGGCACACAAGCACAAAACACTCACCATCCTTTCTGTCACAGTAGGAAATGTTTCTTCAGCTCTCTGTAGCAGAATTCTCGGCATTCCTGTTGCAAGAGAATGCAGAATCTTTCATAGCCTTGAAACTTTATTTTATCACACAAGATGCTTTGTCGGTGGCAAATTAATTCATTTACAAACATCCTAGTGATTTCTAACAAGTATACCATTAACTAGCTCTGAATATTTGCCCACATCTGTAAGCAAACATACTAATTATTGTGAACAAACACACACTGACGCGGACTACTTTCTTCTCACAGAAGAGGCAGGCAGAGATTGCTGAAGCTTGATGTCTTATTACACGTTGTGTAGTCTTTATCAGATTGTTGCTCAGTTTTGAAGGCAGCTAGTTCACCAATTTTGAGTCAACCTCTTTCTTCCAAAACGTGGGTAACTGGCTACCAGACTGTACGCAATTACTTTTTAGAAACAGCACAACCACTCTACAAATTTACATAGCAGAGAAGCAAAAATGAGCTTGCCTGTACTGCAGCTTCAACCAGTTCAATACAGACCAGTGATGGGCAAACTTTTTTAAGAGGGGGCCATAGAAAAAAGAAAAAACTTTAGGCGGGCCAATATAATTTATTAAAAACAGTAACGGTAGATTTTACAAAATTCTTGTAATACTAAGCCCTATTAATGATTGAAAGATTATGAAGGAGAATGTGATGAATGAAACTATGACAGCATTTCCAAAATTTTCTCATGATCTGGTTCGAACTGGGATGCACTGATTCTCAGAAGTGAAGTTAAATGCTCATCTGTCAGTCTGTTTCTAATACAACTCTTTCGAAGTTTCGTTGTAGAAAACACCTGTTCACATATATAGGATGAAGCAAACATAGCAGTGACTTTCTGGGCATGAGATATCAGATTTGGGAAACTGGATTTCGACAAGTACTTGTAGAACTCTAGGTCTTCTGCTTTTTGTTTCCTTTCATCTTCGGTCATAGCTCCCTAATTAGCATTCTTATGCTTAGAGATGAAGTGCCGGGAAATGTTGTATTCTTTGTAGACTGCTATGGTTTCATTGCAGATAAGACACAGTGGTTTATCCTTAAAAGCTGTGAAAAAGTACTTCCAAGTCCATTCATCTTTGAAAACACGGCACTCTGAATGAACTTTACGTTTTTTAGTTGACATCTTAGGGCTGAAATGTTAATGTGCACAGTAAAACTAGCAAACACCTACAACAATAGTGCGACCGGGTCTGAATAAAAGAATGTGGTGTTAGTAGCCAGCTGCAGTGGATGTAATGTGGTGGGGGTACAGCGAGGAGGCTCCGTTGCCAGTTTTACTCTTCGCTACAAAAATGCCAGCAGCCAATGCCTCACTCGCAAATGTTAACATAGCATTCCAATACCATAGTGGATAAGTAACTAAATTAATCTGTGGTCACTAGGCTAAACATAAAAGGGAGGAAAGAAGAAGAAAATAATCCAGAATTATTTATTTTCCTTAATTCTTCTTCTTCTTCTTCTTCTTCTCATTCGTCAGATTAGGAATCATTTCGCGGGCCGGATAGAACCTATCAGGGGGCCGCGTCTGGCCCGGGGGCCATATTTTGCCATCACTGACATAGACGATCACGGCCATCACGGCTGCCACTCTCTCGATACAAAATGGCTGCCGCCAGTGCCGAGGGCTCGGTCGGTAAGAAGGTATGCTATAATACCACCTGCCCTGTCAGTAAGAAAGTATGCTATTATACCACACAGTATTTTTTACTGCTCCCTCCAAAAAATCACTGGTTCACACGTATAGTTAGAATTAATAATCGATGTAATTGAAATGTTCATATTTTACAGGCACTGGTGGGAAACTTTTTCCAGATAAATAACGTCGCAAACTGATATCTTGTACTGCAGGGGTTCTTACTCCATTGTGGGTTTTCTGTTTTCGAACTGAGTTTAATATCACTTACTTCAAAACCATGTGAAGGCGAATGAGTTAAATGATATCTAACTCAGTTCGAAAACAGAAAACACACAACGGAGTAAGAACCTTTGCAGTACAAGCTATCAGGTTGCAAAATTATTTATCGGGAGAAAGTTTCTCACCAGTGCTTGTAAAATAAGAACATTTCATTCACATCAGTTCAACACCCCCTTACTGAAATGCAATGGATATTTGAACTGTAACATACTATTTGTCTTTAGGAAAGCTGATGGTGGTTAAACTTGAAAGAAAATTCTGTATCCATCCGAGATACTTGTATTCAATTTCATAAATTTGCTTACAACTTATAATTGAAAGCTACACAAAACATAGCTTTTAAGTTACATTAATGTGTTATAAATCATGTATGGGGAGTAATAATACTGAGGTTTCCATTGGTTGTTAATTTCACTAGAATAACGAAACTCGAGAATCTGATACACACTTTTGTTAACAAGCTCAAGATTGCATTTGATAATGTATGAAAAGCAATAGAATAACTGCAGAACTCTGACAAACATCATGATCTGGAACACGCTCATGTTTCCAAATTCAATACTAAACATAATAATGTGGCAAAAATTATAAATTAACTGAGAAAAATATAATGAATGTAGTATTTTAGCGTCCTGTTGCACTGATTCGTATCCATAATTTGTATATATTAACCGTCTTTTACACACTCATACGTCAAGCAATACAATGCACGCAGACACATAAGAAAGACACATCATAAGACACAGTATATACACAATTAAAACATAAGAAGAACGACTCCTATAGAGGATGAATGGCATTACACACGTTTTTGATATATGACATATTAGATGATAGATCTTAACAAGTTTTGATATATAAATTTTATTATTGAACAACGACGAAAACACATTTTATATCGTTTTATAAATGGACACTTGATGGCAGGCAGTGCAATGGTTTTTGGGAACATCCCACATTATCACGCATCAAGGTCAAGGTCAAGGTCATGTTACAACTGACGGTCAGTCAGTCTGTCTGTCTTGGTGTAGAGGCCCAGCTGGGGCTCATGACCAGATTATGTCCACTGTCTGTATTTACATAGATTTATAATACACACTTATTTCTTGCTTATATGTGCAATATATACAAGCCTCTGTCAGTTCAGGCTCAGTATAGCAGACTATGCCCTATTTCTAGTAGTAATCGCCATCACGGCAGTCTAGTCACTTGAACGGTCGTATGCTTGTTGCATGCATAATTTTGTTATAAAGTCATATACGTACGGGATTTTGAATGCCATGTGCAAATCGCGGACCGGTGTGCGCCTCGGAAAATTGCGAATGGTGCAGACAACCTTGTTTTGCAGGCGTTGCAATTTAACTAGATGCGTGTCTGCCGCAAATTCCCAGGCGGGACTAGCATAAGTCATTACAGATCTAATAAGAGCTTTATGGAGGGTCAATTTAATGTCAGGGCTCAATCGCTCACTTTTGGAAAGGGAATATACTCTAATGAATGTTCTGAAGGCCTTGGCCTCGGTCATTCCTATGTGTAATCTCCATGTAACTCTCTTGTTGAAGATTACACCTAGATATTTTGCACTATTTACAAATGGAATATTTCTTCCATTTAGAGTAAGACAAGACTCAGGCAGTCGACGACCACGAGAGAAGTAGACCCCCCGAGTCTTATCTTCATTAATTTTTATATTCCATATTCCAGCGCTCACACCAGGTCTCCATTGAACTGAGACGGTGCTGGAGTTTTTTAACAATAAAACCCTCTTTGCGATCTGTCGCATATAGACAGGTGTCGTCCGCAAAGAGGGCCAAATAAATACCATGAGTTTGGGGGGCATCATTAATATACATGTT